ATTGGCTCAAAGTCACCCAGCTGGCTTTAATACCTAAAGAAAAACTACATTTCACCATCTCCTGGTGATTGGCCCAAAGTCTCCCAGCTGGCTTTAATGCCTGTACTAGAACTCACTGTCTCCTGCTCTTCAGCCTGGCACCTTAACCACTAGGCCCAACCTGCTATCCTTCAGCTTCTGTGATGCCCAGGGTTTCAGGCTCTGTGGTCACTGTTTAATCCACAAAATCCTGCCTCACTTTCCCCCTGTGTGTTTTGGGCACCTAGATATCGACGCTCGCCCTTGGGACTTCCAAGCCGAAGAATGCAGTTTACGAGCCCACATCGAGTCCTTTAATAGCCGGAGGTACGACAAGATCCGGGACGCTGAATTTTCTCCGGTCGACAACTGCCTTCAAAGCGTGCTGGGGCAACAATTAGAACTGCCCGAAGATTTCTGCTACTCGTACGAACTCTGGCTCGAGAGAGAAGTATTTTCCCAGCCCATTCACTGGGAAGAACTGCTGTGCTATCAGTGATGGGGAATGGGATTCGAACTCGGCGCTTCAACCGAAAAGTGCTACATTTGGGGTGGAGGGGAGAGGAAGGGGGAGGTTTGGGGTCTGTGGATGTCTTTCTGCAGGGAATTAACTGCTAGAGGTTGTAAAAAAAGGAATTCTGACTTTTCCAAGCGTTTTCTCCTTTCCCCTCAATGTTACGGGCCTGTAAGCAAAGAGAAATTTTATGATTGTTATTATTCCCCATGGTTTTGCCTGATCCAGGTGACATGATCTATATTTAAAGATCCTGTAATGGTGGCTTTGAATGAAGGGGATTCTGTACATCAGCAATGTGCAGCTTTGGCCACTTTGAGATCTGTGGACTTCAATTTCCAAGATTCCCAGTTCAGCTGGAGAATCCTGGGAGGGGGAGAATTCTGAGATTTGAAGTCCACAAGTCTTAAAGATTGGACACCCCTGCTGTACATCATATATATCTCCAAGATTTTGGTTGCTATTATCAATATTTTCTGTGAATAGATACCTGGGCAAACAGATACCTGTAAGCCAGGTGACATCCTAAATCATTTCTCTCACTACAGACAATCTATTGCTGATTCCATCAAACATCAGCAAAATATCATCCAATTATATTTCATAACCAACCTATGAGGATAATCTCTAACTAGCAAGCGGTATTTGTAGAATAATTTTTCAGGATGTAAGGATGAATTAGGGGGCATTTGCCTGTCTCCGATAAATAAAAATATATTGGACAGATGCAAATCATATACCAAAAATATGTAAAAGCACTGTGCAATTTTCTTCCCTCTTTTATTCATGGTGCATATATTTTAAAGAATTTTTCCCAAGTGTTGCAATGCAGTATTTATTTTAAACTGACGTTTGCAGAAGGTTTGCTGCAATTTTTGAATGAAAAATGCATCAGGCGTTCAGGAACTACTCTTACCTGGTTTGGAAATGAAAGCGCCCACGGCGTTGAAAATTGTAGCGGCATGCAAAATATTTACTATAGGGCACCACACGATCATTGTGTTGATAGTGGCTTATCAGGAATGCATTCAGATCCTTCCATACAGGTGTTCTCTCTTTTACTGACAATATTTGAAGCATGCTGGCTCTGTTGCTTGCTTGTTCACGCATCAAGGCTATTTTGCATGTCCTAAAACCTCTTTTGCCAGCGGCAATAACACGGGTTCCCCATGAACAGCTTTATGCTTTGTGTGTGTGTGTGTGTGTGTGTGTGTGTGTGTGTGTGTTTCTGCCATGAACACGGGTAGCAACAAGGAGCAGAAGGGTATTGCACTAAGCAAAGCTTGGTTGATGAGCACAAGACGAGAGTTAAACACGCTTGTATTCTGACATGCTTGATTGTATGGCTACGTGTAGTTATATGTGTGTGAGACTTTTATCGGCAGCGTTAGTAATATGGCACAGATTTCTCTCTGAAATACAACTAAGAGGATTTTAGGTTTTTTTTTTTTTTCATTCTGGCTCATCAGAAAGTGCATTTTGTCCAAAAGCTGGACGTATTTTCCAGACTGCATTTTCCAGGCACAAAAAAAAGAAAGAAAGACCATCATATATGCAACATCCTATTTAAAGAAGCGGGCAAATGCAGTGATGCGTATATTTGGCAACCGGGTAAATATGTGGCCTTAAAATTTCCCAGTTCACCAAAATGACTTGATGTGGCACTTTATTCATTCTGTGAAAGTGTTTGCATAAAGTCCCCCAAAAAACAAAAAAAATCACACATCATTTTGTTTGCAATCCTAGTCCAGAACAAACATTTAAGGAATTGCCCTTACCTTGTTTCGGAAATGAAAAATATGTGATTTTAAAAATTGTAGCGGCATGCGAAATATTTGCTGTGTGGCACCGCGCAATAATTGTGTTGATAGTGGCTTAATGGGAACGCGTTCAAATTCCTCGGTTCTCTGTTATTCCTGCAGAGTGAAAATGTTGATTCCCTAATTGCATTCACAAATTATTTTTTAAGGAAGCGTGTGTATTATCCTAAGCACGAGGTGTAAGTCAGAATAAAAATTTAATTCTTAAAACAGTTTTCTTCTTTAGATTATTTAATGATATTTAAATATTTGCTATGCACACCTAGAGAACCAGTATTTTCACTGTAAAAATGGGAGAGCACTTTATAAACTACAGGAAAAGCTTTCTGGACAAGTTTGAAATGTTGATTTAATGTACTGTGAAATTAAATGGATCTAAAACAGGGATGTATTATACTGTAAAGCATTAACCTCAAGAGTTACTACTACTTGCAGCGCAAGTGCATTTTTTAGTAAAAAATAAATGAAGAAATTCATTTTTTCTCCCTTCCTTCCTTCCTTCCTTCCTTCCTTCCTTCCTTCCTTCCTTCCTTCCTTCCTTCCTTCCTTCCTTCCTTCCCTCTCTTCCTTCCTTCCTTCCTTCCTTCCTTCCTTCCTTCCTTCCTTCCCTCTCTTCCTTCCTTTCTCAAATTCTTCTTTTCCCTTCTGCCTTAACATAGGTTTTTAAAAAGCTATAAAATTAATGTGCCAGATGGCAACTCTCTCAGCATAAGGCAGCTAAACCATGTTGAAATTCGGATTATCAGATCATCCAAACCTCCTTCCTTTGCCCAGCCTGTGTAAATGTGGTTTTTAATGAAATAAGGACCACATTATCTTTAAAAAGCCATTAACCTTCAGGAAAATTATTATGTTTAGGAGATAGGATCATGTGTATAACAAGCCGCATTTTTAAAAAATGTTATTTTTAAATTACTCCTGAGGAGTACTAGGAATTTGTAAAAAACTTTTCAGAAGAAAAGGCTAAGAAAAGATTTAGCCTTCATCTCTATGCATGCAATATGTCCAGTTCTGACCGCCCCATCATAAGCCAGCATGCGAGTTTCTGGAATATCACACAGAAAGGAAGGAAAATGAGAATACAGGTAATCCTCTACTTCATTTAAAGTTCATTTAGTGGCTGTTCAAAGTTACATCACAGATAATTAGAGTTGGAAGGGACCTTGTAGGTCATCTAGTCCAACTCCTCCCCGCCCAAGCAGGAGACCCTACACCATTTCTGACAAATGGGAGTCCAATCTCTTCTTGAAAGTCTCAAGTGATCACTGAAAAAAGTGATTTATGACTGTGTTTCACACTTATGATCATTCCAGCATCTCCAGGGTCATGAGACCAAAATTCCACCGCTTGGCAACTGACTCATATTTATGACGGTCACTGTGTCCCTGGGTTACGTGATCTTCTTTTGCGACCTTCGGACAAGCAAGGTCAACGGGGATGCCTGATTCACTTCACCACTGTGTTACTGGCTTAACAACGGCAGTCATTCACCTCAGAGCTGTGGTGAGAAAGGTCGTAAAATGGGGTAAAATTCACTTCACAACAGAAATTTCGGGCTCAGTTGTGGTCGTTATTGTGTTTGTAGCTGAGGGTTGAACTGTGGGGTCCTGGGTGCTCTCTGAGCTTGGTTGTTTTCTTGCAGGACGTTTCATTACCAAACTAGCTAACATCATCAGTGTTACAGGGAGGTAGGGTTTGCTGTTTTAAACACAAGAGCATGTGTGCTTGTGTGTATATGTGTGGGTGGGTGGGTGCACACACAACTTGCCCTGTCAGTGTTTGTAGGAATGTTCTGGATGTAAACCTTGATATAAACCAAGAGTCTTCAAATGTGACAGCGTTAAGACTTGGGGACTTCAACTCCCAGAATTCCCCAGGTACCATGACTGGAAGAGGAATTCTGGGAGCTGAAGTCCACAAATCTTCAGTGACTAAGATTGGGCCCATTTGGTTTAAAAAAAAAGACCGCCAAGAAATCGTCCCACAATTATGTTGACGACGCAGGCGCAGGCCTTGTCTTTTCCCCCCTCCCTCTCGAGTAGGGAGGCCCGTTGCCTAGCCACCGGCAGTCGGTCCCTCCCCTTCCCCATGGCAACCGGAGCAGCCGCGGGACAAACAGAAACCCCGCCCACGGAGGGCGGTCGTTGCGGCAGTTGCGGCGCTTTGGGAGGCGGCGGGCGAGACGCGTGTCCGGCGCAGCACGTGGGGACGGGCGGGCTGCGGGTTGGCGGTCGCCCCGAGCAGGTTAGGGGGCCGAGCGGGAGGGGTCCAGGGGAGAGAGGCCAGTCGCCCCGGTGCTCTTCCCACCAAACGCGGCTCAGCCGGGGTGTTTGGCCTGGCTGAATTCAGGCACTGGGTTTGGCGTGTTGTCTGAATGCAGAGAATTTGATTTCGGGGGCTTCTCCCTTCCCTCCCGCTTTTCCTTCCTTCCCTGTTTCCTTCCTTTCCTCTTTCGTTTCTCTTTTCCTTCTTTCCCTCGTTTCCTTCCTTCACTCCCTATTTCCTTCCTTTCGTTTCCTTCCTTTTCCCTCATTTCCTTCACTCCCTCGTCCCTTCCTTCCTTGTTTCATTCCTTCTTTTCCTTCTTTCCCTCATTTCCTTCCTTCACTCCTTATTTCCTTCCTTCCTTTCCTCGTTTCCTTCGTTCCTTTTCCTTCCTACCCTCATTTCGTCCATTTTTTCCTTCTTTCCCTCATTTTTCCTTCTTTCATTCCCTATTTCCTTCCTTTCTTTCCTATTTTTTTCCTTCCTTTCATCTTTTCCTCCCCTCCTTTCCAATTATCCTTCCTTCAGTTTCTCATTTCGTTCCTTCCCCTTTTCTTTCCTTTCTCCCTTCCCTATTTCTTTCCTTTCTTTCCTTCTTGTTTGCTTTCTTCACTCCCTATTTCCTTCCTTTCGTTTCGTTCCTTCTCCTTTTCCCTCGTTTCCTTCCTTCACTCACTACCTCCTTCCTTCCTTTTCCTTCCTTCCCTGTTTCCTTCCTTTTCCTTCTTTCCCTCGTTTCCTTCCTTTGCTTCCTATTTCCTCTCCCTCCTTCCTTTTCCTTCCTTTCTTTCCTCATTTCCTTCCTTCACTCCCCTTTTTTTCCTTTCCCCTCTTGTTTCCTTTCTTCACTCCCTATTTCCTTTCTTTTTCTCCCTTCCTTTCCAATTTTCTTTCCTTCCTTTCCTCCCTCCCTCCTTCCCCTGTCCTTTCCTCTCTTCTTTCCTTCCTTCCTTCCTTTTGTTGCATTCCCTCCCTCCTTCCCTCTGCCTTTAACTACTCCTTCCCCCTCCACAACAACCCTGTGAGGTAGATTTGGCTGAAAAAGAGTGATTGGCCACCCAGTTGACTTTCATGCCTAAGGCGGGACTTGCTCACCATCTCCCAGGTTTTCTGCCTTAAGCAGTAAGTCCAACTGGGCCTCCTCTTTAAACTTTGGTGGTGGTGGTGGTGGGAGTTTAAATTAGAAACAATACGGTAAAATTCTACCAAGGGACAAAACTCCAATTGAACAGTAATTATTACTGCTTCCTCCCTGCAGCTGTTTTATGTCTGGGACTGGATCTATCCCCCCCCCCACTTCCGGGATCCTTTGGGATCACCTTTAGACTTACATAGGGCTTTACATTGCTCTCTAATTGCTTGAAGCTGTCCCATTTGCATACAGTAGTCCTCGACTTACAACAGTCTGTTTAGTGACCAAAGTTACAACAGCATTGAAAATAGTGAGCTAGGAGTGTTTTTCGCACCCATGACCATTGCAGCGTCCCTGGGGTCACGTGATCCCCCTTTGGCGACCTGGCAACGGGGGGGGGGGAGGCAGAGTCACTTAATGACCATGTTGCTTACGGAATAATCGCAGAGCTCTGCTTAACGATGGTGGCCAGCGAGGTTGTAAAATGAGACAAACTTCAACTGTTTCACTTAGCGATGAAAATGTTGAGGCTCAGTTGTGGTCGTAAGTGGAGGATTGCCCCTATCTGTACAATTTAGTCCAGGGGTCCCCAAATTTGGCTGTTTTAAGACTTGTGGACTTCAACTCCCAGAATTCCCAGTGGGAGTTGAAGTCCACCAGTCTTAAAGCGACCAAGTTAGACCATCTGAGGAATTCTGGGAGTTGAAGTCCACCAGTCTTAAAGCGGCCAAGTTAGACCATCTGAGGAATTCTGGGAGTTGAAGTCCACCAGTCTTAAAGCGGCCAAGTTAGACCATCTGAGGAATTCTGGGAGTTGAAGTCCACCAGTCTTAAAAGCGACCAAGTTAGACCCTCTGAGGAATTCTGGGAGTTGGAGTCCACCAGTCTTAAAAGCGACCAAGTTAGACCATATGAGGAATTCTGGCAGTTGAAGTCCACCAGTCTTAAAGCAGCCAAGTTTTTGGGGAGCCCTGGTTTAGGCTTTTCAAATGGTGGTTTGTTTGTTTTTTACTTTTGTGCATTTTATTTAGCTTTTGAAATGATTGTTTGCGTGTTTCCCTTGTTACGCTGCTGGCCTTATAATAAAGATTTGATTGACGGCCCATTATTCTGCAGAAAACAAATGATGTTGTGCCGGGTGCAGCCTGCAGTTTATCTCTTTATCAGAAATTTAATACTTTAATTCTCTATACTTTAATTTTCTACCGTGTAAAGGGCCTTAACCGGCTTTCTTTTGTGTGTATGTTTTCCTTAACAGAATAAGGGAGATAAACTTGAGTTTGGAATCCGATCCAGGGATCTTGGTTTGAAAGGGGACACGATGCTCCTCAGGTCACCTGCATAAAAGGATGACACCATGGTAACGTATACCTCCCCGAGCTTCACCTGTGGAACAGGTAGATCAGATTTGCCCTTTCTGGCCACAGAGGGAGGGGGAGCCCAGCCTGCAGGTAGTCCTTAACTTAAGACCACAGCTGAGGCCCGAAATTTCTGTGCCTAAGCGAGACAATCGTTAAGTGAGTTTTGTCCCATGTTTACGACCTTCCTTGCCACAGTTAAGGGAATGACTGCCGTTGTCAAGTGAGTCACACAGTTGTTAAGTGAATCTGGCTTGCTGGAAGGTCGCAAAAGGGGTTATGTACTTTTATTTATTTGATTGTGATCCGGCCTTCATTACTTTAGAACTTGAGGCAGCGAGCATACAGAAGAGTCCTCCTCCTTCCTATTTAACCCACAACAACCCTGTGAGGTGGGCTGGGTTGAGAGGGACTGGCCCAAAGTAAACCCACCAGCTTTCAGGCAGAACTAGAACTCGTCATCTCCTGATTGGCCCAAAGTTCCCCCATTGGCTCTCATGCCTAAGGCAGAACTAGAATTCACCGTCTCCTGGTGATTGGCCCAAAGTCACCCAGCCAAATTCCATAGCTACGGCAGGACTAGAACTCCTTGTCTCCTGGTGATTGGCTGAAAGTTTCTCATTGGCTCTCATGCCTAAAGCGGAACTAGAACTTACTGTCTCTTGGTGATTGGCTCAAAGTCACCCAGTCAGCTTTCAGGCCTAAGGCAGGACTAGAACTCCCAATATCCTGGTGATTGGCCCAAAGTCACCCAGTCAGCTTTCCTGCCTAAGACGGAACTAGAACTCACTGTCTCCTGGTGATTGGCCCAAAGTTACCCAGTCAGCTTTCCTGCCT